ATTAATTTATTCTCTCTCTCTCTCTCTAAAAATGTTTCCAGTCTGGACTTTGTGCAAAGCCTTCCTCTGCAAGCTGCTGCAGTTTAGAATTGTAAAACTATAGAAAAGAGTAGAACAGGTTTACCTTTTTCCCTCTTCTTTTTTCTGTTTTATTTCATTCTTGATTTATAAATTGACATGCGAGGTGTGATTCATGTGTATGCAATAAATGATTGAACTGAATCACAACAGCTGCACACCCAGAGGTTGTACAGACTTTGCAAAGGAAGCACAATGTGCGATCATTTTTATGCAGGACAAATGTTTATTAAATTCTTTGTGCTTTTAAATTTTTTTAATTTTTTTTATTGTATAAATAAAGGCATTTCGTTTTATACATAAAAATGTGTCCACTGTGTTCCTTTTAATAAAGCAGCATATTTGACTTTCATATGCATATTGACTAGATTTTCCTCATTTATTTAGATTTTGATTCATTTTTGATTCATTTGTTAAGTCCTATCCGGTCACTTTTATACTTCCTCACTAGCTGAGCAGAAATGAGCAGTGTTGAACACTGCTTGAGGTGCCTGCTGCATCCCCCTGCAAAAGTCCCTGTTCACTACAATCCCCGCGACATTTCTCTCTATCTCAGTCACACATATGGACACTGCGGTTTAATTACTAGCTGCAGCCTGGGGTCTGATTCGGCACATTAAACTCTGTTCTCATTCTTCTGTCCTGTCTCTGCCTCTCTCAGTTCTGCATGTTATTTTAGCCAGCATTAGCTGAGCTCATAACACTGGTAGACTGTAGGTGAAGGTGCCCCATGGAGCTCATCTTTTAATGACTGTCTGATCAGATTATCACTGTTTTTACCCAGACTCAGCCAGCTGACGCTTGAGGTCTGTGGTCTGACTGTAGGCAGTGAGTTGTTGTTGTTTTTTTTTTCTTGGGCCGGATAACAATTTTTTTTTAATTCATTTTGGCATATTTCAGTCATAATGTCTATTTTCCATATAAAAATGTTAGCTGTTAGCTAATGCTGTAAATTGGGAACCTTCTAAATGGGTAAATTTACAAAAATGTTAATTAATGAGATTTGCTATAGAACTAGAAAATATACAGTTTAACTATGCTGTACTTTTAACAGATATGCCTATAATAATCATGCAAACTGTGGGTACAAACTGAAGTGAAAAAATTTGTTAAACTGTTACTGTTAACAATTCTAAACTAACAATAATTAGGCCTATAAAATTATCAACTCGTGGACACATCAATGATTAGTTTTTTTTTTTTAAAAGAGTCATTTGTTCGTGAATGGGCCTCGTTTATTTTTTTGTTTCGAATTCAAGTAAGAGTAATTTGTTTGTGCTCATGCTACAATGATACCACTGTGTAAACCGGTTGTTTTTACTGGATCAAAAACATGCACCAAAAACAAACTAATGTAGTTTCCTTGTCGATCTGTGTGTGACTCATGCTTTTGATTAACCAAAAAGAATCAGTTATATAGTCATTTGTTCTTGGACGACACTGTATGTTCAACTGTATAGAAAGTTATTGTTTGCTGTATTTTTAGCAAATTTCTTAATTCTGTTTAGACTTCAAACCCTGGCTCTAGTTTCATTGGCAGAAGCATCCCTCAAAAGGAAATCTCCATTAATCAGTAGATCAATATTCTTTCTCAGCCTTAGTTTATTCTTTTAAAGCAAGACATTACAGGCAAAACCATTGATTTTTTTTTCATGGCACAAATCTCCACTTTAGAGGAACTTACACCAAACTCTCCAGTTTTATTCCTATCTATATTCTGAAGGTTTTTGTTCATATATCTTTTGCCTGATTTATTTAAAGTGGTTAACATGGTGATTTTGTTTTTCCCTGGCTATTTTTATTTTTTTTTAATTGTTATTTTTTAAATTTATGCCATGATATAAAGAGATTGTAAACATGGCTTTATCCAATGTTCAGATTTCAGAGATTGATGTATGCAAATTAGTGCATATTTAATTAGATAATGCTTCATTTGCATATTTAAACAACATTTTGGAAAAAAAATTGTAAAACAAAAACAACTGTCTTCACGTTCTGTGGTTAATCAACTGGGGAAGTATGGTGTTATCTATTGGTTACATTTTTTTTTTTTACCCTATTCACCTGGTGTCTTGCCTTGAAATGTCTTTTTAAAATTTCACTTCTTCAGAGATAGACTCGCTCGCACATACCAGCAAAACACAGGAAAACAATTCCCAGACTAACACTGAACTGTCAAATATCAGTTTATTCTTGAGTGTTTCATTACATTCAACTCATGTCTGCCTCCCCGATGTCTGCAGCAGACGTTTCAGTTGTCTGCTTGGTTTGGCATTGTAACAGGACACAGTGAGTGATGTGGCTTTTGTGTCTGTGTGAGATTCACACACACACACACACACACACACACACACACACACTTGTGTCATTTTCCATTTGTGACCTAATACCTCAGCTATGCAGAGTTCAGACTCTTCTCATCCGGCACACTCTGAGATGTTCTGATATATTTTACCCTTGGTAATATTACTGTGACCGAAGTGACAAAGATATCAGTGCTGCAGAGAGATAGAGAGACAGACAGAGATAGAGAGACAGACAGATGTGGAGGCAGGAGTTGATGCTAGCATATTGTAGCAGTCTGGGGGGTTGTATAGGCCATGCCCTCCGCAGCAATGTTTGATTCTGTCTGTTTGTATCTGGCCTTCACACTGCTGCTGATGCTTACTTATGCAGTAATCAAGGCTACACAAACATATCCTCTCATGTTTGCCCTCCAGACGATACACACACACAAACACACACTTAATGAAGCAGATGAAGAGTGTTTAAGCTGAATAGAGATCAAGAGGTAATGAGAGAGTTGCTGCAGTGATAAAACAAACGTCCTTCTCTGCTAATCTGGAAGACTGGACAACTGCCAGTATTATGGTGGATATGTTTCTTAAATAGCTTTTTGCATCATAATTCATATGCAACCCACTTCTTAAAAGACAAACTCCTGATTTAGGTTTAGCGTAGACAGTCTTACATTAAATTGCAACAGAGAAAAAAAGAGATGAAATAGCATTACTGATTTCATATCAGTAAACATTTGGTTCTGCTCCTCACTGTCTGTGTTTTTCACTGGAGAGTACAGAAACAGGCTGATTTAGATTATTGCTCTGCCAGTGTTTTGCTTCAAGTCAGGGCTACTGGAGATGAAAAAAGGCTCATATCCACTAATAAAAAGGGGAAGTTTTCACTTGTGGATAAAGGAGCAGATATTTAGTTTTTTACCTTTTTTGAACATTCTACCCCTACATTTGTCCCATTGATGTGACTATGTTAATTTCATTTTCATCGTCAATGTGTCTGCCTGTATGTTTCCTTCATGCGGATCAATGTAGAGGCAAGTTTAGGGAGAAAGACGATTTAAATAAGAAAGCATTTAAAACAAGAAACCATAAATAAAATGAAAATTGACAGCTTCTGGAAGAATATGAATTTTGACATGACACTGGATACAGAGAGACATGGTGGATTATTTTAGATTAGAAAATGCTGCCATCATGTGGGGTGATATTTGGCATAACTGTTATGTAACCGCTCAAAACCGCTTCACCCACACCTTCACCAACTGTACATCCTGCCTTCTGTTGTAATATTTAAACATATTGTGTAATGCCTGCTTTGCAGTTAATCCCTAATTTCATTTCAAAATCTGCACACCAGAATCACAAGATGTCTACACTGATATGTTTTAAATGGAAAAATATTTTTACACTCTTTTCACAGGATGTGGTCGATCATTTGATAGACCTATAATTTCACACTGTTGTATGATTTTTAAGCTTATTTGACTGGAAATATGAATTATTACATACAGAATAAATGTTATAAATAATCTTACAAATGTGTTATATTTCAGCATATTATGTATTAACTTTGTAAATATATGTGTTTTCACACCCTCCATTCATTACACAACTTCACCTACACTTCCCTAAACACCCCACCCTGAATGAGCAAGTGGGGTCTGTCCCGGCAGAGCACAACAAGCTCAGTTTTCTGCATAGATGTACTGGGGCAATCCTGTGACCTTGTTTCAAATATCATAATACAATTTTTTTTCATGTGCTAGTACACATGCTTAAGTCGGCAGTGTTACACCTAAGCTTGAGTTTAAAATTCTCAGAAAAAAACCTGTTTAACCTGCAGGGATTATTAGGTGCAAAAAGGGAAAATGCTTTCAAACAATCGTTGTTTACATAATTCTTAAAGGGGTCATATGATGCGATTTCAATTTTTCCTTTCTCTTTGGAGTGTTACAAGCTCTTGGTGCATAAAGAAGATCTGTAAAGTTGCAAAGACTTTGTCCTTTAAATTGATTTTATATACACACTACCATTCAGAAGTTTTTTTTTATGACTGTCAAAAAAGTTGCATGATCATCAAGGCTGCATTTATTTGATCAAAAATACAGTAAAAACAGTAATAATGTGAAATAGTATTACAATTTAAAACAACTATTTTAATATATTTTAAAATGTAATTTATTCCCAAATTGAATAGCAGCGAGGCTACAAGTTTCACACGATCCTTCAGAAATCATTCTAATATGCTGATTTGGTGCTCAGGAAGCATCTCTTATTATTATCAGTGTTAAAAACAGTTGTGCTGCTTAATGTTTTTGTGGGAACCTCATACTGACCCCAAACCTATGGTAGTATATATGGAAACCTATCTACAAATCTGTTGTGTGCATCCATGTGTATGTTTGGAGTGAAACTCTCTGACCTCTGAAACAATGTGCTTATGAATAGCTCCTGTGAGCGTTCTCACCTAGCCGGTTGTCAGGTGTGTGTGTGTGTGTGTGTGTGTCAGGTGCATCTTTAGGATGGAGGTTGATGTCTGTAGGTGTGATAAACAGGGCAGGGCTAACTCTGATCAGGTGGAGTGAAAGAGTGTCTGTATGTACATTTGTCTTTCTGTCCCTGCCGGTGTGCTGATGTATGTTTAGCCTCTCTTTCCTGAGTCAGGCACTGAGGGCCGTTCATCTGGGGAACATGTTCAGCCTGATTAAACTACGGCGTGTCTTCACTGTCCACCAAGTGCCCAAAGTAAGTTCACTCATTTAACAAACACAAAACTACCACAACAAACAGATATTGTGTGATTTTAACTAGCTGTAGTAGTTTAAGGTGTTCTTGGTATAGATAAACTGATGATAGGAAGTAAAGAATCACTTGATTTTTATTTTCTTTACTCTCTTATTACTGTGCAACCTGATGTGAAACAGTTTGAAGGTGTGTACCCAAACATACTGTGATTTTCATATTAATGCTTTGCATAATTTTATTGCCTTACCTTTTTACCTGTAGTGAGAACTGCTTTGCTGTCTTTATTAAATGTGGGGTTTGTGACTCTTTTCCCATGGTAGGCATTTCACGAGGACAGTATCATCTCTGGATATCGGCACCCTCGTAGTTCAGCCACAGACTGTGTGTTGAGTCTCTTTCAGCTCACCAACGAGACCCTCAATGTCTGGACACACTTTCTACCAACCTGGTACAGTGAAACACGTTCATTTGCGCAATCTCTGTCACCCTTTATCTCTCATGCTTGCTTTCTCTCTCTCTATATGCATATCTATGTCTTTGCCACTTTCTCAGTATGCCATTTGTTATCTTATAACTCACAGACAATAGTATATGAACTCACACAGTTTTAACGGCACAATGGCCCTGGGCTACATAGCAACAGTATTTAAACTGTGTGTGTGTGTGTATGGTGTGCTGAGACTTACAGTAGTTTGATGTGAGAATCTCCACAGTGGATTGTTACGTCCCTCACCGAGCTTTAACCCAGCTGAGCCGCTCCTAGAACAGTTAACCTTACTGGATGATGACAGGAGGTCTGCCATCACTGTTAATGAGCTTTCTCCAGACCTAAAGATGATGAAGAGTCGCTCATGTCACCATTGATTCATTAACTTCTGGCAGTCTATTTGGCTTTATTGTGATCTTGTATGGTTTTATTTATTTGTATATTTTTTTATGGCATTTCAATTTTGGCTGTAATAGTCAATCATAAGCCTTAAACTGAGTTAATTTTGTAGATAATTGCCTACTTGTCATTGCATCACTTAATTTCCCAGACAACTTCCATCTGAGGTCTGTGAACAGAACTGAGACCATTTTAAATCTCATTCACGCATTCAGTCATTAATATGTTTCAATCAGCCTCATTTTATCCAGTGCTTTACAGTAGAAAAAGAATGAATATCAAAAATATTAGCAACTTTTACTCTCTACTTCACTACATTTTTGAATAAGTATCTGTACTCTTTACTCCACTACATTTGTAATGAGTGTTGCAATTACACATTACATTTTGCATGGCACCAAGCTTTTTCTGCAGCAGTTCTTGGTATCGCCAACTACAGACTACATCTCATGGGTTTTGCCCTTACTCACACAAACTTGTCAACAAGGCTACTTTATGTGAATGCTAGTTCCTTAGCAAGTAGTTGTGAATCACAGATGTGAGATGAGGACGACTGCAGGCAGCAATGAGGCCGAAACCAGCACATCCAGTGCTTTTTAATTTTACTTAACATTATTTTATTTATCCGTTATACTGAAGAGAGACCTTTTTGAAGGATATTGTTGTTGTTGTTTTTTTCAGTTTTGTTTTGTTTTTAGAAAATAAACGTGATTGCCCTCACAAATCAACTCTTTCTTGTTTTTCACTGGCATGTCTCTTTGACTAATGCATCTTTGAGCCTATATTTAGTATAAGTAAAGTATTTAAGTACTGTTAAAATCAGATACTCTGAGACGTTTACTCAAGTTGTTTTGGAATTGGTGAGTTGTAACTTGTAATGGAGTAATTTTCACTAAGGTATCTGTACTTTTACTCAAGTATGGTTTTCAGGTACTCTTGTCTTTACACTTCTGTTGTAAGTAGTATATGTTATGTTCCCATAGATATATAGCAAACCCAGAAAATGTAAGTGTTTTTATAGTAAATATATAGCTGGTCTGCAGGGATGGGAACCTTGAATGTAAGATGTCTTTGGAAAATCTCCTTTACAAAACTCTACAATCTGTATTAATTCGGATCTTTACTGTACATACTGATACTGTACAGCATAGAAACCAGCCTTATCGGTGCTCTTTAGAGATTAAACTAGTTCTATAGAAACCTTCACTGATAAGACTGATTTGTGCGATCTGTGTGTGTTCATGTACTTCTGTTTGTTTCTGTGACCTCCTGTCAGATACATTCCTATAGTAACAAACTCTGCGAGCAAGTCTGGGCAGGTTAAACATTTGAATACAATTTTTTTACTGCTCCTAATCTTTTGTTTTGTTTCTCATTTCCACAGTAAAACACATTCACTTGCTTAGATATAGATTCTGTAGTTTCCATGTCAGCTGCTGTGTGTAGAAACCATGCAAGCAATTGTCCCGTTAGCCTGTCTGTGGAATAGAATGCAAACAGTCATAAGATGAAAAACTTGTCTGTCATTGTCTCATCCCTTTTTTCTCCATCAGGTATTTTCTATGGAAGTTGATGACGGTGTTGTTGATGGAGGATGCGCTGTATGATGCATTCACATGGCCTCTGCTGGTCTTCTTGTTCTCCTGCTGTGTGTATCCATTGGCCTCCAGCTGCGCCCACACCTTCAGCACCATGTCTACTTGCGCTCGCCATATCTGTTACTTCTTTGACTATGGAGCACTCAGTCTGTACAGCCTCGGTAAGAGAGGAACACACAGGCACATTCACTTCAACACTATCAGTTCCTTGGCTTGTTATAGAAATTATTGCCATAAAGACAAAGTTCGAGGTTCAAAGTTCTGTACTGCAATATTTAACAGACACAATGGAATTCTTGCACAATTAATACAAATACAGATTGCATTACACACATCACATACAGCATACAGTATCACAATACTGTACATTATTTCTAGGGATGTACTGGTAATAGAATTCTGTCCAACACACATAAGCTGATGGTTATTTAAATTTTTTGGCCAATAACTAGTAAATACAAAAATGTATTTTGTGTAAAATAAATAAATAAATAAAATACTAAAAACTAAAATCAATGATTTTAAATAATACAAGTGAATTTAGGCATCACGATGTTATAATGTTGAGTATGAAAAATCTATATTTATTTTCAGACTGGCTAAAAACATTTAACAGTGTTATTAAATTATTATTGTTTTTAAAGACTAACTTTAAATGAGCTTTAGATCATGGCAAAGGTTATCTAAATATAAAAATACACTGGTAGCCAAAAGTTTGAAAAGTTTTTTAGTGTTTTTGCAAAAAGTCACTTAGCCTATGTTCACCCGGGCATTTATTTGATCAAAACTACAGAAAAAAACAGTAATATGTACAGCGTTTACAACAGTAATGTACAGCATTATTACAATTGAAAATAACTGTTTTCTATTTGAATACATTTTGAAATGTAATTTATTCCTGTGACGGCAAAGCTGAATTTTTGGCAACCATTACTTCAGTCTTCAGTGTCACATGATCTTTCAAGAATCATTTTAATATGCTGATTTTGTGCTCAAATAACATTTTCTTATATTTATTAATGTTGTAAACCGTTTTTGTTGCTTAATTATGTTACGGAAGGAAGGAAGGAAGGAAGGAAGGAAGGAAGGAAGGAAGGAAGGAAAGAAAGAAAGAAAGAAAGAAAGAAAGAAAGAAAGAAAGAAAGAAAGAAAGAAAGAAAGAAAGAAAGAAAGAAAGAAAGAAAGAAAGAAAGAAAGAAAGAAAGAAAGAAAGAAAGAAAGAAAGAAAGAAAGAAAGAAAGAAAGAAAGAAAGAAAGAAAGAAAGAAAGAAAGAAAGAAAGAAAGAAAGAAAGAAAAGCTGATCAAAATTGCTAAAGAAAACAGAAACAAAATAATATTAATGATAATAAATAATAATAATAATAAATGCTGTTCAATTAACTTTCTATTTTTTAAAGAATCCTTAAAAAAATGTATCATAGTTTCCACAAAAATACATACATTTTCAACTTTGATAATATTAAGAACCATTATTAATAATTGTGCGCCAATATTAACTTAGTACCAAATCAGCATATTAGAATGATTTCTGAAGGATCATGTGACACTGAAGACTGGAGTAATGATGCTGAAAATTCAACTTTGCCATCACAGCAATAAATTACATTCAAAAATCTATTCAAATAGAAAACATTTTGAACTTTAATAATATTTCCCAATATTACAGTTTTTTCTTCAGAGAAATGCATCCTTGGTAAGCACAAGAGACGTCTTTCAAAAACATTTAAAAATCTTAATTATTCTGAACTTTTATCTGCTAGTGTAGGTAAAATGAGAATGCACAATTAAATATACAGACACATTTAAAAATATTCATGTGGCTGATTGCATGTTGATGCAGGTTCAGCGATCAGCTACTCTGCATATGTTTTTCCTGATGCATGGGTGAACAGCACTTTTCATGCATACTACATCCCTGTAGCTGTACTAAACACCATCCTCTCAACCAGCCTGTCCTGCTACTCGAGGTAAGGCTCCATTTCATTCTATAGTCCTCATTACTAACACACCACCATACTGAAAACACAAATGCAGGTTGCAAAAATGTGGGTTACGTAGTTCTGGTGAGTGAGTATGTAAGTATGTGGAACAAGCTCAGTTCATTATTGCATCAGTTTGGGTGACAATATCAAACTTGAACAGGCACATTTATGCTAAATATACAAAAACAACCTAATTCACAGAACAGAATTTACATTAGTCAAAAACAGTAGCTATATTACAGGGACTAAATCTAGTTCATTTAAATGAGTTGTCCGAACCACTACATTCACTACAATGCTTCACTTTTTCAATGCTGGCTAAATCCGAAATCACGTACTCGCTGAGTATGTACTAAGGCTGTGTGATATTGAAGAAAAATGCGATATGCGATAACTCAATAAATAATGCGATATTCGATATGCGATACGATAATGCTTAAAGTGTCACATGTTCAGATGAAACAGTTTTACTCAGCTGTTGCTGAGTCAGATCTGTGAACTTCTATAACTATCTTTCAAGTCAAGTCAAGTCTGCTTTATTGTCAATTCTTCCACATGTACAGCACATACACACAGAGAATT